GGAAGGAAGGAAGGAAGGAAGGAAGGAAGGAAGGAAGGAAGGAAGGAAGGAAGGAAGGAAGGAAGGAAAAAGTTTGCAAATTTGATATTTGAGTTTGAACATATGATTTTTGCATCGCTATTTTAAGCTATTTGAATATCTTTTCTAGCAGCAAAGTGCAGGTATATTTTAACAGAAATCCAAGGAAATAGCAAAACAGTAAATCCCCATGCCTTGTATATATTCCTGTAGAAAGCCAGGTTGCCTGTAATATCCCTTCCTGTTTTCCATTGAGGGGGGGGGGGGAGTCTCTGGAGTTTTGATTACATACTGAAATGCGGTGGAATGTCTCTTCGTTGGATCATAATTAATAATGATTTCCCAGAATTGCAGATTTCTTCAAAAGGACGCGAGCGCTGGGTCAATTATCTTTTGTTTCCCTGCAAGATCCGAGGATTGGGCGGTACTTCCCGCTGGTTTGATCTGCTGCTGTGGTATTTGTGCCTTAAGTCACAGAGCAGAACTCGGAGTAGGGAAAAAGGGGAGTGTACGAGCTACGAGTCCTTTCCGAAAACGGGCCGGCTTTGTTGTTGCTTTTTTGTTGCTGTGATGGAAAGGGCAGCCAAGCAGAATCCAGCAAGCTGTTGCGACTCCCGGGAGAAAAGATCAGAGGGGAAATTCCCACGCATACAAATATGGAGGCAAGGAGCTGAAAAATCAGCCATCAAATAAAAGCCGTTGCTGTTTCCCACTGTAGGATGACTGGAAGGAGGCATGCGTTACACCAGAGGTGTCAAACTCAAGGCCCGTGGGCCGGATCCGGCCCGTGGGATGCTTAGATCTGGCCTGCAGGGCTGCCCTGGAAACAGTGAAGGACTGACCTTCCCCTCTGCCAGTGAAAACAAAGCTCAGGAGGACTGTGTCCATTCCATTCTAATATTCTATTCTATTCCATTCCATTCTATTCATTCCACTCTTCCATTCCTCTATTCCATTCCTATTCTATTCCATTCTATTCATTCCGTTCTTCTCTTCTCTTCTACTCTACTCTATTATTTCTATTCCATTCCATTCCATATCACTCCACTACATTCCATTCTAATAAGTCTATTCTATTCTATAATATTCTATTCTATTCTATTTCTATTTCTATTTCCATTCAATTCCTTTCCATACCACTCCATTCCATTCTAATTTTCTATTTCTATTTCCATTCCATTCTATTCATTCCATTCTTCTATTCTATTCTATTCCATTCCTCTATTCCATTCCTCTATTCCATTCCTCTATTCCATTCCTATTCTATTCTATTCATTCCATTCTTCTATTCTATTCCATTCCTCTATTCCATTCCTCTATTCCATTCCTCTATTCCATTCCTCTATTCCATTCCTCTATTCCATTCCTCTATTCCATTCCTCTATTCCATTCCTATTCT